AGCCGATAATTTAAATAGAATAAGCATGCTAATAATGAAGTTAAATGTTTCAGTAGCATTTTGCCATAGTTTTCGGATATGAGAGTAGAAAATTGATTTGATCAGAGCAGATATATATTTTTAAGTCTGCGGAAATGTTGTGCCGGGTGTCGTGAACAGCGAGCTTCACAAGCGGTCCGATCAAAGCAGTAATATTACGTCGCGTCGCCAGCCAAGGGTTAACGAGTGATCACGACCTACCAGCCCAATGAGTAGTCTAAATATATACTGTGGTCTAATTAGCGAGCATCGTACATCATCATCCCGACCTGCACGCACATTCAGGCATTACAATACAACGATTCTGCTGTGCTGACGGTCCACTGACACGTGCACGTCGCCTGGTACGTGTGTGTCCCGCTCCTCTGTGGTGTGGTGTGTGTTGTGTGGGTGTCGTGTGCTATGTTGTGACGTGCGTGCGCTGCGTGCGATCGTGTGTGCGTGCTATGCTGTGGTGTGTGGGTGTGTGTGTGTGCGATGTGTGTGGTGTGTGTTGGTGTGTGCCGTGGACGGTGTGTGTCGCCGTTGGAAGTGGTGAGTGTGTGGCTGTGTGGATGGTGTCGTGGTGTGCTCGTGCTTGTGTGTGTATGTGTGTGTATTTTCACTGTGTCACTTGCCAACAAATGGTTATAATTGTTCTACGTGGTAAGGCATAGAAGTGTACGCACTCCTGCCAATAGACATCCTTACAAATGAAAACAGCTAACTGGTGTAACAAACATAGCATCCTACACGTGAAAATAACGCTATGCGCTGTAGCGCAGGGGCTTCAGATAGTCGACTGAGCTAATGTGCGCTGCGTTCTGTGTAAACTAAGCCAGTCGGAAATGTCCCGTCGCCCATGACTCTGCGTCAGAGACAAATGCAGGCATAACGATGCCGCTCGCGCTGCAATGAAAGTCACGCGAATAAGTGAATCGGTCGCGATTAAATGCATACTCTACTACTCGTGACGCATTAGAGCACAAAGCCATTGACAGTATTCCAAATATAGAATATTATCATGTGTACTAAACTATCTACGCATCTCGCCGTCGCTCAGCGAGTCGATGTTAGTCGTTTGCGGCCGCCCAGCGCCAGCCGCCAGCACGCGCGCTGTGTGTGTGACTGTGGTTTTGGTGTGGTCTCGTGTGTGTGTGTGTGTGTGTCGAGGAGAAAGCGCGGGACACATGTGCTGAGGGTGTCTTGATATGGCGTGAGAGAAGAGGTATTAGGAGCGAACTGTGCAGTGTGTGTGTCGTGAGCTCGCAGTCGTGTAGTGTGTGTGTGACGTGTCGTGGCCCTGTCGTGTGTGTGTTGTGTGTGATGTGTGTGTGTGTGTGTGCTGTGAGAGAATAGAGAGAACTGATGCACGTGTGCGTTGTCGTTCGTGTGTCGTGAGTGTGTGTGCTCGATGTCGCACGATGGCGTGATGTCACACGTACCAACACACAACGCGCCACGCACGCACTGTACGCTGCATACGGCAGCGACGGGTACGTGCACACGTACGCACGCGCGCACGTGACCCCTCCCTCTTCCTTCCCGTCCCGTTGCACCACGCCACGGCGACACACATCACGTGCGAGCAGTGTGTGTGTCGTTGTGTGTGTGATTGTCGTCGATGGTGTGGCTGCAGAAATCAGAGAGATAGCCCCCCCTCGCGTTCGGGTGCGTGTGTGAGAGAGACGAGAACGAGGACGTGAGCGATGGAGAGATGAATGGTAGGTAGATAGTAGAGAATGAAGAAGGTTTGAGGTAGTCGGCTGTTGCAATCACACGCGAGCTGGACCTACCCCCCCGTGCGGATATCGAGCGCTCGGCTGCGAATTTCTACACTTAGCGCGCTTTCCTGTTTCCCGAGTTCCGGCCCTCACAGACGCCTTTCCTCCTGCATCGTACGTCGTCCCACCGCCTCCCCTGTCCGCCTCGAGGCACCCGTGGCCCCTCCGAGACGCAGCCGACTAATTCGCACAACGGGGCGAGGGGGGGCAACCACGGCAGCAATGAAGTCGTTGCGCTGCGGCCAGAGAGGACGCCTAACCTAGGTTCTCTCGCGTTTGCACGAACTGGGAGGAGCACACGCGCACCGCCAGTGTCAACGGCAGCCCTCGTGCACCGCAGCCTCGTGTGTCCACAACAGGGCGGTGTGGTAATTATCGTGCCCCAGGGTCGGTGGTGTGCGCGCTGCCGTAGTCGGCAGGGCCGTGCGTCGCCTGCGCGCTGCATGTACACGTCGCGGGATGGCGATGACGGCGTCGTGCGTTAGGGTGTTGACACGCCAGTGTGTGGTGGAGAGCGGCGGACGAGGTGGAGGGAGTGGGGTGACGTGTTGAGCGAGGCGACGAGGCGACGCGCCATTAGGCGGGCAGTGACAGACCGAATAGAGCGCCGGAGCGCGAGATGTTAGCCGGGGTGCAAGTGTGCAAATCTGGCGTCTGTACTTGGGGGGGGCTATATTCTTTGCGGCAATCCACTCTGCGGATCGCGGAGGCGCTCGTGGAGTCCAGGCTAAATCGATCAACGACCGGCGCGGGAAACTCGAGTACTCGCCGTGTTTGAGGACACGTCCGGACAGCACAACCGATCACGACGACGGCGAGAACGGGGGGGTGGGAGAGGGGGCGGGCCGGGAGTCGCAAGGTCGGGCCGGCTTGGGAACAACGGGGACACGACCTCACCGGCCACGGACGGCCGTACACATGGCGCGCTTGATTACGGTACTGGCCTATCACGTAGCGAGACGACGCGAAAGGACGCAACACCGCACAGGGTAGCCGCAACACAGCGCGCAACCGGACAAAGCGATTAGGGACCCTATGCTTGAAGATTGGCCACGAACTGGCGCGGGCGGGTAAGACGCGGCGAGCACGGCACGCGAGCGGAGGCCCACAGCTAGCGTGCGGCCTGGCGGCCGGAGCGGAGGGGGGGAGTGACGGTGGAGCGGACCGAGGCGCGAGAGCCACGCGACGTACTATGACAGGCGATGACGCACGGACGGCCACGCAGACAGTCACGCACGGCATCGGCAGATCGCACGCCGACGGCGCACAGGTACACGTCACGTCTTACATCCACGACGCACGGCACGGCATGCATAGAAATCGGTAAGAATCGCGGTAGGTCGGGTGTCTGTCGTGTAGACGGGCTACATAATGCGGTAATCGATGTTAAGTTTGTCGTGTAGACTGAAGCTATATTATATAGGTCAAAATAAGAGATGGCCGATGTCGGGGCCATCAAACTAATCAGGAGGACCATTCATATTTTAGTCCCATTTTAAGGGTTAAATTCCTTGCACGCCCCATTACTTTTAGAGAACAATTGAAATTTAGGGACATGAAATTTCAAACTAGTGGTCGTTGACCATCTCTTCTTTTTCCTTGTTTCTACCCGCTTGATAGTATATATATTATAGTATATGGATATATATATATATATGATCTGTTCAGTAGATATTTTCATCTTTTCAAGGCTTTAAAATGTATATCTTATTCCTTGACAGCTATAGGCTTACATTTGTGCTAAAAGACATGTTGTTTCGGGATGGGCGCTGTGCCGTCATCCCCGATCAAGATACCTCATTCCCAATTAAAAAAACAGCCAGTTTATCGCTACTAGTGTCACTTACACTATAGTTTTACACGATAGACTCTCAGACACTATACAGAACAAAACCTTTTAGGTTTTAGTTCAAAATTTTAGGTTCAAGTTATAATGTTACAATATTGCTTTTATCACACACGGCGACATTTTTGCAGAAAATCGACTCGTTATTAAGCATATCGGCACGAGCCAGCCATATAGGTATTACTTATATAGTAACTAAACATCCGGAAAGCGAACAAGTGCAAAATCCTGTTTAGATTCACGTTGAGCAAACAAAGGTATGTGCACACACGACGATGCCTGCCGTCTGTCCAGAGCAATTCTAGAAAGAAATAGATATTTGCCTCCGGACACCCTGTACCTCGCATTCGCTTACTTCGTGCGGGCGACCGGCCGCCGTCCTCGGCGGGGACGAGCTTATATGAGTACTATACTAACACACTGCCTGAAAGCCACCTGACTGACTGGTTAACATTATAATGTATGCCGTGTTGTGCGTATATCGTATATCAGGTGCAAATAAACGGGAGTCCGGAGTCAAAACTTACCTCCCCTTTTTTCTCCTTCACTCGGCGGATTCTCGATTTGACATATGCAGGACGTCGTGTGACTCCTGAAAAATTCCATACTACTAGTTCGTTCGGAGCACGGCTCGCAGATATTACTGTATTTGTTCATAATGTTCAAAGAAAATTTGGCAGACGTGCAACTGCATGAATCTTAAAATAAGCACATGCGATTATTGTTAAATCTTTAATTTGAACCTCAAGACTGCCGGACTCTGACCCTTCTTTTGAGGGTAGGGAGCTCTTGTGTTCATAAGTTAATTTCTACCCCTGCGCAGGATTGCGCAACAGGCGCTCGGCTGATGCGAGTGTGGTGTGTGTGAGAGAGAGAGCAGAGAGAGAGAGAGAGAGAGAGGAGAGAGATATCAATTAAGCTAGAGTGTTGTGTCGACCTGCTCTGTGGAGGAGAGTAGAGACAAGACAGAGAAAGCTAAGAAGCTAGACCGGTGGTGTGTGTGGAGAGAGAGGAAGAGAGGAGAGAGAGAGAAGAGAGAGCGAGCGAGAAAGAGAGAGAAGAGTGTTCCCTTGCGCAATTCATCGCGGGTATGCGAGTCGCGCGATCACTGTGTGAGTGCGATGTCCGCATGCTAGCCTGGAACGGCTAAGGCGGACCGGTTCCGCGACCGGTAGCCCACTGCGTATTTATAAATGGTTTCTATAACGACAGAAAAAAGCACTGGAATTGAAAGTACGATGATATTGAGAAAGAAGATATTAGATGAAAACGCTAGACTTTCCCGAGGCAACGTTTATCTATGTATTAGACGGTCCGCGCGCGACAGTTCACTCGCATTACACTGACGTCGCGTGGAACGTTATTCCCCCCCCGCCCAAAACGGTAGGCAAGTTAGTAACATGATGGCCGGGCCAGCGTCTTTATTTTAGACAATGGATCCGTCCTCTCTCTCGCTTAGGAGTAATCGAGGTGCAGCGAGTCACCCAGTCTTACTATTTTTTCCGTACAGCCAAATGCGTAAAAATTCCAGAAACCACCGCAGCCTACGCCCTACTCCAGTAACGCCTATGTCCAGTTCACTGTTCACGGTTTTAAATGCAACCGATTAAAATAAAGATTCTACTACATCTATACAGAGGGAGAGGGCGGCGGTGGCGCCAGAAGAAGGAGTGCGCAGCGAGAAATGGAGCGGCCGTCGACCACGGTGCCACAAACATGCATCTTTTTTCCCGGGTGCATCGTACGCGACGCGTTGCCGATAAAATGTCTATACGCCACATAACACTATCAACCCGCGGAGACAACACTCGCTGGAGAGATAGCACTAGTCATTGCGGCGTCAGGAACCTTCGCGTAACGTCCATGACGTGCCTGTCCTTCTCCCCCGCGAATAATCGGTAAACACCTTTGAGCTTTGCTACAATTAGTGTGAGGGTTAGTTTGGGCGCTGTTTCATAATTGGTCCATCGCCACGGAAACCGGTTTTAAAATCGAGAAACGGACAGACTCAGGGGCAGCGTGTGAACTGAGGAGTGTTCACACGGCTCCAGCAACCCTGGGATGGCCGCACGAAGCGGAGCGGCATGGCGTCGCAGCCAGCGACACACTATCGCGTCGCAAGCAGGATGGCACGTTACGTTTTCCACCACGTTTGGCCGCTCCATTAGCTTTTCTCGTTGCATCCGTTTCACGCCGGTTCGTTTGTTGATGCGATTGCTTGGTGCCGGCACCTTGCGCGACGCAGCAGACGTGCGCGGCGCGTGCGTGCTTAACTGGCCACCGCCCTCGCCAAGAAGAAGACTACGATGGATTAAGTTTGAGATCGGTTCTGCGGGAATTTTATCCGCACATATACCTTTCGCACTATTGTGAACATGCGAACAGCAGCGAATTACAAATATGAATGCGAATGGCGATATGTCATATGGACAATCGGGAAAACTATAAGCGTGACGGAAAATTGCTCGCGCGAATACGCGAAATTTACCAAATTATGGAACTCATATGCTTGTTATGGGTATATGGGATCCGGTAAATTATAAGCGTGGACCTAAATTGCTCAGCCATATGAAGGCCTAAAGGGGTGTAGGCAGTGCATAGCTACTGCATGAGAGACTTCGTGAAAGATCTACGTTCGATAAATCCGCTATGATAGCGTCATTGCATGCATCAAAACGAAATTGCGTGGGAAGGTCCTTTCTTTTTTTTTTTTTTTTCTTGAGACCCGGGGATTTTCTGTTTTTTTCTTGTTTTGCGAGGTATACTGCGCGCGGCAAATTATGCACTCGTAGTGAGCACGCATTTAATAATACATTCCGCGAGCGCTACCCTGGATGCACGCGGTAGACCGCGCCTTACGAACCTCCAAGGAACCAGTAGCCGAAGCGATCCCTTTCACGGAAGAAGATCGCCGCCGTTCACGGGAGCATGCAGGCACTTCGCGCGCAGGCGCACACTCCGGACATCATCAGATTTCGGCCTCGATGCTTCGCGGCACGGATCGCTTGCGTGCCGACGTCGTGTTCACCGCCAGCGCACTTGACAGCAACTAGCGCACTGTGGACAGAAGTCAGTGAAAAGCTGAACAATAATATGAACCGCACATTGCACAAAAACTACCGTAGCCCTACTTCTCAATTACAGTTCCACGTATGTGTCACTGTATATAAACTTCTCGAGAAAACTAGACCGGAACGCTCGCACTCGCCCGCTGCGAGGTGCATGTCCGCCATGATAATGATAATAATATAATAAATCATTTATCTATCATAAATCATTTATCATTATATCTATATAATATTATAGATATAAATATATCTTTATATATTATTATAGATATAATATATCTTTATATATTATTATAGATATAAATATAAATATATCTTTATATATTATTATCATTAATCATGCGACACAGCACTCGCAGCGGCGAGTGCGGAGCGTTCGGCGTTAGTTTTTATGAAGCGGGAGAAAGTTTGGGGATATACGGTAACACAAACAAGTGAAACTGTAATTGAGAGGTAGGGCCTACGGTCGGGGGGGCCGATAGATATTTGTGAATGTGCGTTCATATTATTTTCAGTTTTTACTGACCCTGTCCCAAGTGCCTGTGATTAGACGCGGTTCTCCTTGAAGGTCGTTTTCACCTTCAGGCGACTGCACACGCTTGCATACTTTCGGATTTTGGGTCATATGCACGCGGTTTAGTTTGTATATACACGGCGTATTGACTTCCCCCTCTCTGTCCGTCGCAGGTATGTTCTTTGTGGACACAGATCGCATGGCGTAGGTATATATAGGCATATCAATGAACTATACGGACAGGCATATCTGGGAAATCCCCCACACCTTCCAGGAATCTCCGTGATCATGATGGAACCTTGTGTAACCCCCACTGTATACCGTGTATTTTGTGTCGCATGAACCGACCCACACGCTCCACCATTGTATTCGCTCCACCGCCGCTCGTACACACAATAAACAGGTTGAAATCGGGGCTCGTTTGCCTAGTGAACGAGTGGAACCTGCCGGCGTGCTAGCTCGTGACGACTACGCCACGCTAGCCAGAGAAGGACTAGGGGACCAGGCGCGATAGGTAGTGCCGCCGAGAAACGCACGAGCAGCTTACGGCGAACGTTTCGGTCATTCATCTATCGCTACCATATATATCGTTATTTACCTGCAATCAGACTTACTGAAACGTTCATGAACCTGTAAAGCTAAAGAATCCTGTGACGTCGATATAGATCACTTTAGTGCTCTGATGACGAATGAGGCTAACGTGCCTCTCTAGACAATATAGTACTATTATTTCTCACTAGTGAATGATCGCACCTGCTTTTCAGACATGAAAATACAGTAACAGTTGCGTTACGCTATAGCCGATTCCCATTTACACGTTTTTTCATAGTAATTCACTGTTGCACAATCAGACGTGCATTTATTATACACGTGTGCGCGAAAGCAAATATTATAGTTATATATAAGTCAATACATTCAAACGCTCTTTCCCTCCTGCTCTTAAATTTGTTGCGTACATCGATGTTCACCGATACATAAGCCACGCATGATCGCATTCATGACCTAGGTGATAACCGACTGTGACCTGTGCTACGACTGCAGATCAGCAGCATAAGTTGTATAGAACACAAACACACACACACATCACAGCATCCTGACACCCACTAACTCACAGCCGATGCACTCGACACCGACATGACGCTGCACAGGTCTAGACCCACAGTCGGGACATTGCGGCAGGCAGCCAGTGGCAGTAGATCAGGCGCGCGTTAGTATGACACACACGCACACAAACACCGCGCAAACACACAGATACAGACAGGACATCTGCGCGCGCATATACACACACACACACCGCCGCACCACAACACGTACGTACGTACACAACACGTACGCACACACATACCACAGACCCACACACACACAACACACATCACACACAATCACGTACGCACGTACGCACACAATCCTACGCACATTGCGCGGGCGGCACACCACACCATACGTGCGCAGTACATCACACGCACCGCGCACACACACACCACACACACACAACACACACACACACACACAGCACAACACAATCACACCGCCTGCACGGGTGCACAACCCACATAAAACACACACACGACACACACACACACACACACCACACCTCACCACCACACACACACACAAAATATATCTATATTATAAATATATAATAAATATCTATATATATTAGTGTATTATATAACATGATACACACTATAAATTACTCTTAAATGCAATTGTAGAAATAATGCGCCCCTAACCTAGTTATTTCATGAGAGAATTTCTACACCATTCTCAGGATTAATGCAACTGTGTCAGGTCCCCTTTGAAAGAGCTTACAAGAGAGGGTGGTTCAGAGGCCAGGCGGTGGGTTATTACGCTTCTTTCTCGCTCGCTCCCTCTCTCTCTCTCTCTCTCTCTCCTCTTCTCTCTCTCTCTCTCTCTCTCACTCTTCTCTCTGTTTCTCTCTTTGTCTCTCTCTCTCTCTCTTCCTCTCTCCCTCTCGCTTGCTCTCTCTCTCGCCTCTCCTTTGCGCGCGCCGGCTCTCTCTCTTTTTCCCCCCCTTGACTCTGTAGCCTTTGTGTCAGAATGTCTGGTAGATAGAATGCATATTGTCTTGCCGTCTAGAAAGCAAGCTCACGAGCCGGTTGCGGCATGAGAGTGAACGGCCCCACTAGTTTTTTATAAGTTTTTGATGATATTTCAACGGTGCACTTTTGAGTTAGAATTGGTGAAACTTTGCACACCGCCAGGAAGGCGCTGTAAGCCAACCAGGCTGACGCAGTTTCAATTCGCACTGCTATCAGAACCATCTTCAGTACCTCCCGTATACTCCACGTAACCTCACATTATGTTGAAAAAATGTTCACAAATCCTCCCCAGAGTGCCTCAAGTCCATGTGCCTCGCTGCGTTCTCACGGGGCAATTGTCGGCGTCGGAGACCGTTCGCCAAACAAACCGCGACCTCCTGGTCACAGATTAGCGCTTACTTGACATGAAGAGCGACGACTCAGCGAAGACATACACAGTAAATAAATGAGATAAATCCAGAAACGCCTCACTGCGTTTGTTATTGTAGCATTGCTCGTTTACATGCAGAACTCACACAGATCGCGGGTAATATGATAGGATTTGCGTTCTATATCGGCTCACTCCAGACCAGTGATCGAACCAATGTATAATTTGAAGGTAGATCAGAAACCGCCCCCGTGTACGAGACGTGGACAGGATATGTTCTTAAACTAGGTTTCAATAATTGCTGTTTACGGTATACGATGAATATAATATCCCGTCATCATAATATATATAATGAGTCAGACAGTGGAATCGTTCTCGCAATGCCAACGTAACATAAGTAAGCTCAATACGGGTATTAGATAACTGGCCAACCACCGTTCTATATATAGCTAAAGTGTAAGACATTAAACTTTATACCTGCCGCTGCGTACATCACGTAACAAACCGTCTGCAAGTACGTGAATCCGTAAAATATTCACGTGCACTGCAGGCACCACGCGCACACACACACGGGCGCGCATACACACACACACCACACAACTGCGCAGCGCGGCGCTCCCCCCCCCATCCACACACACACAACACACACACACACACACACACACACCCACACACACACACACACACGCACACCGCAGCGCGGCTGAGTCCCCACACACACACATGCACGCACGCACGCACGCACGCATGACTAGCTTCTTCTTTTCCTACAACAGAAACAGCGACAGGGGGCATCGCGTGAGGTGTCGAGGACGACGAGGGAGGCCCGCGGCAACTGGACAGCAAGCTCGAGATTTCTCCTATCCTGCTCGGCTTCGCGCGTCGGCCTGGCGCCGACGTTGTGGCGCTTTACCCTATCTCTTGCGTAGATCAATGTCGGCGGTAAGCCTAAACACACGAGCGTAGGTTAGGCTACTGCTAGTGTCGTAACTAGCTACCGACAGTAGCAGTCGATTGGAGGGTTCGACGGTCACCTATTTTCATTCTAAGTCCGTACGAGAAAACCGAGGATAATTGTTTTACGAACGACAACTGTCATATGTTTTAATCGCACGTGGCTGGGCCCGTATTGGTGTGAAGTTGGAGGGTGGGTGGTGCGTTGGGTGGGGTAGTGGAGGTTGGGGGGGGTGTGGGGTTGGTGCGAGGTTGGGGTGAGGGTGGTGAGAGGTTAGGTGGGGGTCGTTGGTGCGTGGTGGAGGTAGGTGGAAATGGTGGATATAGACCAGTGTATTCCCGCCAGTGCGTTTATTATAATATAACTAGCAGCATACCTGGCGTTGCCCGTAGATCTTGCCTCATTTTGTCCTCCTGCAACCTCAGATAACCCCGGAAGTCAAATCCAAGGTGCCCATGACATTCAGCATCAAAAGTTACCCCTACCGAACGTCCTTGGACATATTGATTTGCATTGTGAACAGACAAACAAACAGATATACATTCACAAATATGTATTAGATATATATTAACTATATGCTGTGAACAAATACACAAACACGCCGCCGGCTCTGTTGCTGTTGGTGGTATATGTATATATATATTAATATTATCAAAAGTAGATAATAGGGAACTTATATCAACTTATATTAATAGGGATATATTATCTACTTCTGATGTTATATATAGAGAGAGATAATTAGATATTACGCTCACAACCCGAATGTATACACAGACAAATTACAATTTTAATAATACAAATGAACGAAAATCAACCACTAAAAGTGTGTGTTGTGCTGCTTTTGAGACTCAACTGACAACTGAGTGCATAATAAAAAAAAGGTATAAATTTGTCATAGTTTAACCTTGTATTAACAAAGTTTTGTTACAGTGTTTAAACGTGCCTTTGGTGTTTACGCGTTGGCGTGTTTATATGTTTACAGACGCGTTTCCATGTTTACAAACATGTTTATGCGTTTACAGGTGCTTTCCTTATACCGTACGTAATATTCCTGTGTCTGGCCGGAATACCGCTGTTCTTCATGGAGTTGGGTATCGGCCAGTTTTCGAGTCTGGGACCAGTGGCGGCATTTTCACACCTGTGTCCTATTCTGAAGGTAGATTGATTTATTCAATGTAATATACTAATATAAAAATGGATGTAAGGAGTTTTGCAAACAAGCTCCTCATATGTGGCATTTACACTGTTCCCAAACTCGCCGTATATAGAGCCGTATATAGAGCCGTATAGCCGTATTACTCTATTTCAGGGTATAGGCACAGGCATGGTGACGATATCCGGCATCACGTGTGTCTACTATAACATGATCATCGCCTGGACAATCTTCTACACGTTCGCCTCCTTCAACAAGGTGCTGCCCTGGTCAAACTGCGACTTTGAGAGGTCGACACTAGGTATGTTGTTGCTCTATTATCTACTCCTGGTATGATGTTGCTCTATTATCTACTCCTGGTATGTTGTTGCTCTATGCGAGTTCTCGCGTTGTCTGTCACGCGAAGGTTGGCCCGAGCGTAGTTTAGCAACCCGGATTAGTTCAGCACATATGGGAAAACACATTTGCGGGGTTCCAAGCTATCCTTGATCCCGAAGGTTGGCTATATATATATATATATATATATATATATATATATATATATATATATATATATATATATAATAAT